CTACATTTTCCTCGTTTTTTATCGTGACAATGTTTTAATCAGTGGTGAGAGTTTTCTCACGTCAAACGACACTTTACACTTATCATTAAATACGTCAGTAAATGGAAAACATTACAATTTGCTTACATGAATAATGTATTACTAGTTACAGCAGGATCTATTTTTTTTTTTTTTTCGTAATACCTCTGTAACTATCAAAACATTACATCACAATACAAGAGAACTCCCAGAACTGATCCTTTTGGTCATTTCTCCACATGAAAACTCATATCTTCAGCCAAGTGGCTCTCTTTTTTCTAAATCATTAGTATACAACATTATAATTCTACAACACTATGCAGCTTGACTGACAGTCTGAGGAGTTTAGCCTTCCCTGAGTCTTACCTTCCTATCCATATGGTAAACTAAAGAGGACTGTTTTAAACCTAGCCTTGAATAAAGAGATTCATGGATTGCACACCAGATGTGCAAACCGATCCAGGCAAACCTAGTTTTATATTATATATCATATATATCACATGTACCATACATATTATATATATTATATATAATACATAACATAAGATACAGCATAATATATAACATAATATACAACATAACACAATACACAACATAATACATATATTGTATAATATATAACATAATACAGCATATATATATAATATATACACCATATATTATATATTACCTAATTATATGCTAAATTAAAGTAGAGTGCTTTAAGCCTGGCCTTGAATGTGGAGACCGTATCTGCTTCCTTAACATAAATGGGAAGCTGATTCCACAGTAAAGGAGCTTGGTAGCTAAATGCCGCCAACAGTGCCGCCAACAGTGATATTTGAGACCTTAGGAACCACCAGACGTCTGGCGTTTTGTGAGCGCAACGCTCAACTTGGTTGATATGACACTAACGTGTCTTGGAGATAGGAAGGAGCCAAGCCATTTATGGCTTTATATGTTAAGAGAAGGATTTTAAACTTTATTCTGTACTCCACAGGGAGCCAGTGGAGTGATTTTACTCCTTTTGGTACCTGTTAAGATTTGTATTCTGAACGAGCTGTATTCTGCTGTATTCTGAACGAGCTGGAAGCTCTTCAAAGAGGTTTTAGGGCGTGCTGCCAATAAAGCGTTACAGTAGTCAAGTCTTGAGGTGACAAAAGCGTGAATACGTTTTTCCGCATCACTTTTAGGAAGGAAATTCCTAATTTTAGCGATGTTCCGTAAGTGGAAGCACGCCGTTTTAGTCGCTTGGCTTATATAAGCCTTGGAGGAGAGATCTTGGTCAAAAATTACTCCAAGATTCCTCACAGTGTTACTGGGTATAGTACTGACATTATCGAGAGTGATTATCTGGTTAGTAAGGGAGTCACGCAGGTGCTTCGGACCGAGTAGCATCACTTCTGTCTTCTCCGGGTTGAGAAGTAGGAAGTTAAGAGTCATCCACGTTTTAAGGTCCTTTATGCAGGCACTAACCTTTTCTAGCTGATCTGTCTGATTTGGCTTCATCAACAGATAAAGCTGTGTGTCATCTGCATAGCAGTGGAAATTAATTCCATGCTTTTTAATAATGTTTCCTAACGGCAGCATGTAGAGAGTGAAAAGAATCGGTCCGAGTACCGAACCCTGCGGCACACCAAATTCTACGTCAAAATAAGGCGACGAGTTCTGATTTACGTTGACGATGTGATACCGATCTGATAAATAGGATTTAAACCAGCCAAGGTCTGTTCCTCTAAGACCTATATCACATTCTAGCCTCTGCAGTAGAATGCTGTGGTCTATTGTGTCAAATGCAGCACTAAGGTCCAGTAGGACCAGCACTGACACTTGTCCATTATCAGCAGCTAGTAGTAAGTAATTTGTGACTTTGACTCGTGCCGTTTCAGTGCTATGATGAGCTCTGAATCCTGATTGAAAGACTTCAAACATATTATTCTCCTGCAGGTGGCAGCACAGCTGCTCAGCTATAAGTTTTTCCAGGATTTTAGATATGAAAGTGAAGTTCGAAATCGGTCTGTAGTTTGAAAGTATTTCTGGGTCCAGGTTTGTTTTCTTCAGAAGGGGTTTGATTACTGCGGTTTTAAAAGCTTGTGGGACATAGCCACATTGTATGGATGCGTTTATTATATTTACGATAGGCTCAATTATCAAAGGAAGTATGTCTTTGAAGAGCCAAGTCGGGATTGCGTCTAACATGCAAGTTGAGGCTTTTGAGGATGTGACCACAGAGATCACTTTTGCTTGGCTCACAGACATGAATTTATCGAGGCCCACTGAAGAGTCTAAGTGGGAAGTCAGGTATGCCGCTTCAGCCTGTCCACTACCAACAGCAGGAGTAACCTCCTCCAGTTTGTCACGGATGGATGTAATTTTATTATTAAAGAAGTGGAGAAAGTTGACACTGCTCAGTGAGCTTGGAATTTTAGGCTCAATTGCGCTATGGCAGTTTGTGAGTTTAGCGACGGTGCTAAACAAAAATCTACTGTTATTTTTATTCGCTTCTATTAAAGTTGAATAGTATTGAGTTCGAGCCCTGCGAAGGGCATTCTTGTAGTTTCGGAGACCTGCTTTCCACTCCCTGTGGACAGACTCCGAGTGGGAGTGGCGATATAGCCTCTCCAATTTTCTCACGTCCTGTTTTAAAGTGTGGAGTTGAACTCTGTACCAGGGCGACGATGATCTAATCCTAATAGTTTTCTGTTTTAAAGGAGCTGCTGCATTTAATGCAGATTTTAAAGACTCCATAGTGTTGTCCACCGTTTGGTCAATGACTGAGGGACTGCAGCAGCTGTGAACAGGTTCACCTGCAGCAGTATTCAACATTGGCTGTATTAGTTCTTTGAACCTTGTGATAGATTTATCATTTAAGGTTCTTTTCATTATGGTTTTATCTTGCGGCGCAGGAAAGTCCTCCAAATCGAGATCAAACGTGATCAAAAATGGTCAGACAGCAACGCGCTTTGACGCTGGACGTCATCATTGGAGACATCACAGCCGTAGGTCAGGACAAGGTCCAAGGTGTGGTTATGAATGTGAGTAGGTTCCTCAACATTCTGAGTGAAACCAACACCATCTAGTACGGCGCTGAAAGCTTTGTTTAAGCTGTCAGTGCTGTCGTCCACATGTATATTGAAGTCTCCAGTTATAACTATGTTTTCCCATTCCAAAACTAGGTTTGAAATAAAGTCAGAGAATTCTGTTAGGAACTCGCTGTAAGGACCAGGAGGTCGGTATAAAACTATAAATAGCACCGCTTTTTGTTTTCTCCACCCAGGACAGGTGATTGAAATAAGAAGTAAGTTGGTGTGTGTCATAATCGCAACGCCACCGCGCGACCTGTAGTTCTCGCTTTCTGTAGTTCTCGCTTTCTGTAGTTAACATGCGTCGGAGGAGTGCACTCATTCAATAACGTAGTCGTCTTGTTGGAGCCAAGTCTCCAGGAGCGCAAACAAATCCAAGTTTTTGTCTATTATAAGTTCGTTTACGAGAAGCGATTTAGACGAGATTGATCTGACATTAATCCACATTTAAGAACCCTTTTTTTAGAACTATTTCTGTCTGTCTGAACTTTTATTAAGTTACTGTGTCTGACACCCATGACAGATTTCCTCGCATATAGTGCTTTAGACTTCAAGCGTGGAACACACACAGTTTCAATCTGACTAGCTTCTGAGGCTAGTAACTGAACAGATGGGGGTTCAGAGGTTGTGGCAGAGCAGCTCTGCACCCGGGCCTCAGTTCTGCACCGTCATTTGAGCCGGGCAGAACAATTTAGAGCCAGGGCCAAATTCTTAGCCAAAAGGGATGTACCCGCCAACGTTGGGTGGATATCATCCGAGCGGATGAGACCGGACTTTCCCCAAAAGGCACTCCAATTGTCAACATGAACAACACCACTTCGAGGGCACCAGCCAGACAGCCAGCGGTTGAAAGCCGAGTGACTGCTAGTGCTAGGTAGGGGCCCAGAGAAGATGACAGTGTCGGCCATTGTGCTAGCCAGCTTGCACACCGCGGCGACTTGCAGCTTCAACACCTCGGACTGTTTCCGCCGAACGTCATTACCACCCTTGTGAATAATAATTTGACGGAAACGCTGCTTGTGGGTCATCATGAGCCTCAGATTCCCTTCAATATCACCAAGCCTGGCCCCAGGGAAGCACCGAACAGTGGCTCCTGGGATCTTAACACCTCTAACAATAGAGGAGCCAATTACCAGCGCATCAGCGACTCCATTGGCTCTCTCAGCAGCTCTCTCAGCGGGTCTCTCAGTGGGGCCTTCTTCCCCGCCCGGCCGCGCGGGGGAGCAGCCGGACAGAGCGTCCCAGCGATTGTAAATGCTAACAGGAGGAGGCCCAATGGGGAAACTACCAACAACACGTCGCCCTCTCCGAACAATCACAAAGCCATCACTATCCTGGTCTTGTCCCAACTGCGGAGAACGGGCTGGGAGGCTAGTTCTCCTCTGCCTTTCCCTGAAGGCTCCGCTGTCCCTGAGGATACGGCCTGGCTGTAGCTAATGCTAGCGCTACCTCGAGACTCCAGTGCTCGGAGACGCAGCTCTAACTCACTGACCCTGGATTCCAGAGCTACGACTACACTACACTTCACACATCTATCACTACCCTCAGAGAAGGATCCAACTTTACTGCTCGAGTTGCCATATGGCAACTCGAGCAGTAAAGGACTGAGGGAGAGACAGCAGCCGCCATAGGAGTAGCGAGTTAGCGGCTAGGCTAGGCCAAGCTAGTCCTGATCCGGGCCCGCACAACAGACTCCAAGACCAGACAAACAACCGCTACCTAAACCTCAGCTGCAGTACAGCTGACTCAGAGTGCTTACACAGTTAGCTTGGTGTACACTACGTGGATTTTTTATGCGTTTGTTAGTGCAAACAGAGAGCAGAGTGATAGTAGTCAAGAAACATGCTCACCGGATACAGTAAGTCACATGACATCTGTGTCTCAAAAATGATTCTGATTCTGATTCTTCTCTGGTTTCAGGCGCTGAGGGAGGGGTCCTCGCCTCTCACAACTCTCAAACTCACCAACGACTTTATAAACATGATCACTCACGCTCATCAGATCTGGTGCGACGCTTTGGTTCAAATACTAGAAAACAATGAACTGGTCAAAACTTTAGTAGATGCAAAATATGACTTGATGCTCACGGATCCTACCATGGCCCTGGGAGTGGTGCTGGCCAAGCATCTAAAACTGCCCTTAGTTCTAAACGTTCGCTGGGTCACGAGTGGCGATGGACAGTTCATGATGGCTCCTTCTCCTCTGTCCTTCATCCCAGTCCCAGGATCAGGATTCACAGACAAAATGACTTTCATACAAAGAGTTCAGAATGTACTCTTCTACAGTATTACTCTGGCTCAACAGAAGTTTTTGGTTGGACCCATGTATGATGCGATCTGCGAGAAGTACATCGAGGGTGGATGTGACATCGTCTCACTCCTGCAAGACGCCGACATCTGGCTCTTCAGGTCTGACTTTGTCTTTGACTTTCCTCGGCCCATAATGCCGAACATCATCTACATGGGAGGTTTCCAGTGCAAACCTCCACAACCTGTGCCCACGGAGTTGGAGGACTTTGTGCAGAGCGCAGGAGAACACGGAGTCATCGTCATGACTCTGGGAACTGTGGTCAAAGCTTTGCCGATGGAGATCACGGATGAGATTGCCAGAGTCTTTGCTAAACTGCCTCAAAAGGTAAGTCGTCATGATCCAGAAGTGTAACCAGTGATAATATAATAACCTTCTCATTGTGAAGGTGATCTGGAGGCATCTGGGGGAGCGGCCCTCCTCTCTGGGCAACAACACTCTGATTGTGGACTGGATGCCTCAGAAAGACCTGCTGGGACACCCTCAGACCAAAGTCTTTGTGGCTCACGGTGGGACCAACGGCGTCCAGGAGGCCATCTACCACGGCGTGCCCATTCTGGGCATCCCGCTGTTCTTCGACCAGTTTGACAACCTGCTGCGTGTGCAGGCCAGAGGAGCGGGAAGCATCCTGCGCCTCAGTGAGCTGACGGGACAGAGCTTTGAGCAGAGGCTCAGGGAGCTGCTGCTGCAGCCTCACTACAGAGACAACATGCAGAGACTGTCCCGCCTGCACCGGGACCAGCCCCTGTCCCCCATGGAGCAGGCGCTGTTCTGGGTGGAGTACGTGATGCGCCACAGAGGAGCCGCTCACCTGCGCACACAGGCCTACAGCATGCCCTGGTACAGCTACTACTGCCTGGACGTCCTGCTGCTGCTGATCACTGTTGTCATGGCAACAGTGCTGTGTGCAGCAGGCCTGCTGCGGTTGCTCTGCTGCAGGAGACGCAACAAACTCAAACTGCACTGATCTGAGATCATTCGCTATAATACTGCCATAGCACACACTTTACACAGTGTTACACACCAAACATGTTCCACGCACATCGACAGATAGAGTCCACATAGAACCTTTCCCTTTGTAACATTTTCCATCTGGAGCAGATCTCAGTAAACCCAGCGTCACATGGTTCCAGTTATTATAAAAGTGAATCTGTACAGTTAAACACATCTACAAGGTAATTACATGACACGTCACTAACGAGACGAACCATGGAGATAATGTGACGTTTCACCTTGAGCAGGAATCAGTCCTTTCTGTTTAGACACAGGATTAACACGAGATGGAAATGGAGAGAAATAGGAAGCTACACTTGAAGATATCCAAGAGGAACAGAGACGAAATGTGCTTTTAGTCCAACGCGTAATGACACACATGCAAAAAGTGATGAAAAATAAGTCAAAAGCAGCTAAAATCTGAGCACATTCTGACTGAGCCTTAAAACTAGATTCTCCGATGGGACCTAGTAAAATTATCTTGTTTTAAAAAGATACAGAAATGTCTCGCTTGGAATGAGAACATAAAGCCCGTTGGAGAATCTTTAACACATTCACAATGTGTCAGATAAAGGTAAAATCCACTCAATTCAAGTAATCATTAGCTCATATTTTATCATTTTTTAAAGTGCATTCTCCTCGCACTTTGGAGAATTACAGACTGTGGCCTTTGAAACTGTGAAAACTTGTGAACGTGGTAAATAAACCAGAATTATGAAAAGAAATGTGATGTTTCATATTTTGTTTGACTTTTCCGATGGGGACATAGGCAGTGATCAACAATGTGATGTATGAATAAGAAGATGAGGGGGTTTATTTGTATAGCACAGTTGTAATGGGCTGGTGCTAAGTGAATTGGGTGCATCTCTGACTGCCAACCCCCCACCCAGAAATTGATTAAGTAGAAGAAAATTGGATGGGCAGTTGAAATGGCAAAAATGACATGAACATGGTTTGAGCAGAGAGGGTGAAATGTGATGGTTAATTAATGGTTCAGAGGGTTTTGTTTTATGGCAGGAAGGTATTTGGGACGATATTTGAGTAATTAGTGTATTAGTGATATTTAGAGTAATTTGGCCTCATTGGCCTGGACTGGACCATTCTGATAAAGCATGTGTGAATCCCATTGTGCGTCAGAGCAGACAGAGGAGCAGACTGCAGAAGCTTTGTCCATTTGCAAATACTTGTTCTTATCATGTACTTTATACTTTCATTAAACCACACAAAATGGCAAGGCAAGGCAAGTTTATTTATATAGCACAATTCATACACAAGGCAATTCAAAGTGCTGAACAAAATAAGAAAGTTAATAATCACAGAACATTAAAAAGAAAGATAAAAATATAAAATCCCTCAGTTGTATGCACAGCCAAACAGAACTGTCTTTAACCTGGTTTTAAACATTGTCAGCGAGGAGGCCTGTCTCACATCTTCAGGAAGATTTTAGCAGCATGAATCTGAAAAGCTGCCTCCCCATGTTTAGTTCTTACTCTGGGCACTAACAGGAGTCCAGTCCCTGTGCTCCTCAGAGTCCGGGCTGGTTCATATGGGACTAACATGTCACTAATATATTTTGGTGCGAGGCCATGGAGAGACTTGTACACAAGTAGAGCTGTTTTAAAGTCTTTTCTCTGAGCCACAGGAAGCCAGTGCAGAGACCTGAGAACTGGACTAATGTGGTCGTACTTCCTGGTTCTAGTCAGGACTCGAGCTGCTGCATTTTGAATGTACTGCAGCTGTTTTACAGCCTGTTTGGACAGCCCTGTGAGCAGGCCATTGCAGTAGTCTAACCTACTGGAGACAAATGCATGGATAAGAATCTCCAAGTCTGCTTTAGACACTATGTTTATGATCCTGGCAATGTTTTTTAGATGGTAAAAATCTGATTTGAGGTGGCTATTAAAATTTAAGTCTGAGTCCAGTATTACCCCTAGATTTCTGACCTTGTTTGAAGGTTTTAGGGAGAGAGACTGTAGGTGACAGATGACACTCTCTCTTTGTTTCTGGGGACCAAAGACAATCATTTCAGTTTTGTCTGTGTTTAGCTGAAGGAAGTTGTTTTGCATCAACTCACAGATCTGTTGGATACAGTGAAGGAGTGAGTCCACTGGTCCATGTTCTCCTGCAGTCAGTGAGACATAGATCTGAGTGTCGTCTGCATAGTTGTGATAGGGCATTTCGTTTCTGCGTATTAACTGACCTAACGGCAGCATGTAGAGATTGAACAGAAGAGGTCCCAGGATCGACCCCTGTGGTACTCCACAGGTCAGGGCCATAAGATCTGAGACACAGTTTCCAATCTCCACAAAAAACTTCCTGTCTTCAAGGTAAGACCTAAACCAACTTAGGGCGACGCCAACCCAGTCCTCTAATCTCTGTAAAAGGATCTCATGGTCGACAGTGTCAAAGGCAGCACTCAGATCTAACTAAGATTGAGACTTGGCTTGCGTCAGTGTTCAGCCGGACATCGTTTGTAACCTTGATAAGAGCAGTCTCAGTGCTGTGGTGGGGTCTAAAGCCGGACTGAAACATGTCAAATGAGTTGTTAATTATAAGAAATCTAGTGAGCTGTAGGTAGACAACTTTTTCAAGGATTTTCCCCATAAATGGCAGATTTGAGATGGGACGATAGTTGTTCAGTACCGTAGCATCCATACTGCTCTTTTTTAGCAGGGGCCTGATGACTGCAGTTTTCAGGGCCTTTGGGAATATTCCAGAATGAAGGGACATGTTGACTATCTGTGTGAGTGAAGGTAACAGACTGCTCAGAACAGACTTCAGAAATCTAGTGGGTAGTACATCCAGGCTGCATGTGGAGGAGCTCAGACTGCAGATTATCTCTTGGACAGTTTGACCATTTACAGGTGCAAAGTTCATCTACAGTAGAACACGATGCATTCTCAAAGTTTATCATTCCCATAAATAGATCACTCGTATTTTCATTTATGTGTCTTCTTCAAACATTTGCAGAGTCCACTGGTGGTTTGATAGTGAAACACATGTAAAAAAAAACACAGAAATGATCCGAAAAAGCAACAGCGACCACGTTTACAATTGAAATATTCACCCCCTTTGTAACTAACAGGTCTAGAGTGTGCCCTCTGCTGTGGGTGGGGCCACTCACGTGCTGAGTGAGACCGAAGGATTCAAGTAGAGAACTCAGCTCATTTGCATTTCTGTCATCAACATTATCCACATGAATTTTAAAATCACCTGTAATAACCAAACAATCAAAGTCTGTGCACACAACTGAAAGCAACTTGGTAAAATTATCAATAAAACTGTGACATGACTGCGGTGGCTTGTATAGGACAACGAAGAGAATTGGAGGAGATTGTTTTTGTTGTATTTTAAAAGACACACATTCAAATGACGAAAACTTCCCAAGAGACATTCTATGGGAGACAAAGTGGTCTCTGAAAATGGCAGCTAAGCCTCCTCCTTTTTTGTTTTCCCGTATTTCCGATTCAAATTTGAAATTTGGTGGTGATGCTTCTATTAAAACTGCATTTCCTGAATTTTGGTCAAGCCATGTTTCAGCCATGAACATAAGATCAAGATTATGAGAACAAATAAAATTATTGATTAAAAAGACTTGTTACAAAGAGATCTGACATAAAGTGTAGCAAGTTTCAAAGTTTCAGTATCAGCGGTTGTGGTCGGCTGATTCTAACACAGAACAAGAATTAGATTTTCCAGATTAGACTGATTAACTCCAGATGTCTTTCTGTAATGTATTCTTTGTGTTATCACTAAGGGAATGCCACAGGTGGCTTCACGGCAGGGCCCCAGCCGGGTCTCTCCTCTAACTAGACTGCCAATGGCTGCGAAGCAGAGACCCTGTGCATCCTAGTGTTTAGAGATAAGAGTGGAAGGGGAAGGCGGGGGAGGAGGATGGAGAGGTGGGTGGCTTTTGGGTGTTGAACGAGGGGGAGGATCCATGGCAACTCTGTTTGAGGAAATTGAGGAAATGTCCACAACACAGTTCATACACAAGACATCTCAAAGTGCTGAACAAAACAAGATAGAAACAACCACGCAAGGCATAACATCATAAAAAATCACAGGAATCAAAGGAGTGAAGATCAGTCCTTCAGTTGTTGCAGATGGGAAGCATCTCCCACCACCAGGTCCGGACCCTCACAGGACCCAGAGGAGAGAGGAGGCTCCAGACCCCCACAGGACCTAGAGGAGGCTCCAGATCTCCTCTGGTCCAAGAGCCAGACCCTCAGAGGATTGAGGAGGCTCCAGACCCCCACAGGACCCAGAGGAGAGAGGAGGCTCCAGACCCCCACCAGGTCCAAGAGCCAGACTCCCGAAGCCAAAAAGCTGGAAAGAAGCCTCATGAACAAATCCATGAAGACCAAAGTTACCATCAGAAATATGTCAGGATCTTATTGCTCAACATTAGACCCTAAATAGTATATTATAAAAGTGATCTTCAGGACAAAAACAGCCCTGAACCCCAGAGATCTTTGTTACAGTTACAGGACAGTATTCAGCATCCTGGCCTCGGCGTCCTTCAGCTGGTTTCTATTTGCTGTTGGAAGAAGAACAACAATAGTGCCTGGCTCTGGGTGAGAATGAAGGAGCGTTTCGTTTGTGTGACACGGTCCAACATGTGTCATCACTGGAGGCTGCAGACTCCTTCAAAATATGACACATTTTATCCACATTTTTCCTTATTTGCATCGATATAACGGTGACTGAGCGGGTAGTGTTGAGGACGCGCAGACAAAACGTCATTTTCATTTCATTTTATTGATGAATTTGAGCAGAAATCAGTGGTGGGCCGTGCATTTTGCACCAAGGCCTTCAGTAGTGCTCATCTGAATTAATCTATCTCTCGATAACTACTTCATGGCTATTTTACCAAGTAGATCCGACCGTGCAATCTGATGAAGACGTTAAGAGCATTATCAAATGATCTTGACATCAGCACATCACAAAAAAATATCACTCCGTCTACTGTGC